ACACACAAGTGAGCAGGAGATCTTGTAGCATAAAATTCTGTTCAACTTTCCACGGACTCTGCTGCCAACATGCGGGTTTCAGGATTCACTCTGCGACCAGAGCTGAGCCTTCTTTGGTCCACATGGGGACTGAGGGAACCCTGTAGGTGGGCAGAAAAGCCCAGCCATCCACAGAAGGGGTGCGCAATTCAAGGCTTGGGACGTGGGTCAGGCGTTCAGAGCTCCACGGGAGCCCTGCTCTTGGCAGTGCCTGAGGAAGGCCTGACAGAGGGACAAGAGCTGCGTTCTCACCTCCAGCCCAGAGGCTGCAGGTTGACAGGGGTTCCAAAGTAGCCCTCAGGGTCATCGCCTGAGGCCTGGAACAAGACCTGCAGCTACTGTGCTAGGGGCCAATTGGCAGCCCTCCAGAGGGGGCACATTTCTATGGAAAGGAAGAGCGTTGCTTCACTCACAGCGTCCCCCCTGCCAAGAGGAGCAGAGGGCAGCCCCTCGAGGCATGTGTACTGCCAGTCTACACCCTGGCTAGGTGCAGAGCTGGGTTGCCCCTCCATGGGAGGACCCTAGGATTCTTGGGTTCCTGGTCTGACCTACTGAGGGGCAGAGCCTCCACAAGCCCCTGTGAGAGTGTACCTTTTATGAATGTCACCTTGTTCATCTGGTTTTCACTGTTTGATCTCTATGGAAAGAAGTGTGTTAGTTGCTCAGTCACGTCTGACTCTTTGCAACCCTCCCAGGCTCCTCCGTCCATGGGATTCTCCAGGCAAGAATATTAGATTGGGTTGCCATTCCCTTCTCTACGGGATCTTCCTGATCCAGGAATCAAACCCAGGTCTCCTGCATTGCAGGGGGATTCTTTCCCATCTGAGCCACCAGGAAAACCCCTCTATGAAAAGAAGGCAGATCAACATCCAACCCCCACCCCATATTCGCATCTGTGCCCTCCCTGCTGTCCCCACACTACCTTACAGAGGACACAAGTTGTCGGTACAGCCTGGGCACTCAGCTCCCCCAGTCCAGGCAGCCCCGCTGCCCTCCGCCATCCAAGTGGGGGAACCAACCAGGCTTGGAGGCTCAAACACTACTTTCCACCGCCTCCCTGACCCCAGCCCCCACTGTCCTGACCTCTGTCCTGGCGCTGTTTCTCCCTCCCCCACTTCGCCCCTGCACTCATGAACCTGCCCCCTCTGCCCAGCCACCCAACATGGCCTTTCCCAACCCCTCTCCTCTGAGGAGCTGGGCCTCAGACAGGGCCCGAGAGGAGGCAGTGCCGGCTCTCCTCTGCCAAGAGCATTTCCCCTCTAAGTCCCCTGCCCACAGTACTTCCCGAAGCCCAGGATGGGAACCACGCGGGGCCACACTGAGGGGCGCTAGCAGACAGTCCTGGGTGAGCCCAGAACCAGGGAGGAGGTACCCCCAAACATGATGGTAAGAAGGAGCAGTTAGGGGTTGGCGTCAGGCGTTGGAGTGGTGATGCTGGTGTATTAGCCAGGGCTGTCTGGTCAGCGCCCCCAGCCCACGACTGGGAGTGGCCGCAGGGCCCTGAGGATCTGGCAGTTCCTGCCTGCCCCTCCTCCACCCTGCTGAAGGGAGTCAAGCCTGGAAGTATCAGCCCAGAACCTCTGCACCAGGGGCCTGCAGCAGCTCCCAGGCAGACAGGGCTGCTCAGGACAGGCTCGGGGGTCCACGTCACCCACCATCCATACCCCTGATACACTGAAGGCTTGGGGCTCTATCCCACAGGATTTGGGGCAGGGAGTGTAACAGAATCTAACTTTTAACCACTGATTCACAAGGACACCCAGGGTGAGGGTAAAGAGCCCTAGGGGGTATAATTCTCCCAACTTGAGAAATGTGGAACTTGGGGACTCAAGGGGCTCCCAGGGAAGCAGGAGAGAGGTCTCAGCAGAAGCGAGGGGCCATCAGCACCCAGAGGGGATCACCCCAAAGAGGAGAGGGAAGGCCTGGCAGGACCAGCAGAGGCTGAAGTGAGCCTGAGGTGGTCCTGCCCCTTGTGGCCAAGGCTACAACTAGGACTTGAGTCTCAAGCAGCGCCCAGCTCCACAGAAGGTTCTGGAGAACCAGGGCACACATGGCTCCATATCCCCTTTTTCAGGAGCTCGGGGAGTGCCTTTCCAACTGCCCTTAGAGGCCTGATGTGCCTGTGCTCAGAGCCACCCTGACAGGCAGGCAGATGGGAAGACAACAGGAGGGAGCTGGGCAGCAGCTCCGAGGCACCAGAGAGCTGGGACCCTTACAGGCCCCTGTGCGCAGAGAACCCCAGGAGGCCCCAAGACAGGAGACTAACCCTCCTCCCCCCCACCCCCCCGGGGCACTGGTCCATGAGATATGCCAGGCTCCAGGTCAGTAAGGGGCCAGGAAGTTCGTGGGGAAGACCACCCACCAAAAGGGCAGGCCCACAAGCCCCTTGACTCAGTCAGCCCCTGCCGGGCCCCCATCCTGCCCCCAGGTTCATACTGGGAGGTCTTGGGCATTTCACTGAACCTTCCCGAAGGCTGGGGCTGTACCAGCAGCCTGTAGGAGGCAAGTGCTATGACCCTAAATGTCCCTGAAGCCTCATCAGAGCCCAGAGCAGAAAGAGAGCAGAACAGGTCAGGCACAGATGAGAAGGCAGAGAGCACGATGGGGGCCTTGCTTCCACAACCCAGCCCCTGGTCTGAGTGAAGGCACAGATCACTCAAGCGGAGACCGCTGCTCGGGCACAGGAAGTGTCCTAAGGTGAGCAGGCCTGACATGTTCAGCTTCATGCCTGAGCCAGGACTGCCATGCCCTGGACGCCTGTCCTGGAGGAGCCAGTCACCCCCTCAGGGCGACTTTGCAGGGAGACAGACAGAAACCAGTGCCCTGCAAGGCTGGCTGTGCCGTCCTCAGCTCAGAGGCCCTGCCCCTAGGCAGACAGGTGGGTCTGCCCGGCCTGTGCTTCGAGCAGAAACATTGGAACCACCTGCCTGGCATTCGGCTGAACTAGCAATCAGCTCCTAACCACCGGCCACAGGGAGCTCGACCTCCCAAGCAAAGGTCTCAGGCCCTAGGCTGGCCCTTCTCCCTACGCCTCATCCCCCAGGCAGACAATGGGATGGACTCAGGTCATGCCCACCAACCCTTGAAGGGGCTGGTCCCTCAAGTTGTAGGGAGGGACCCCCAGCATCGCAGTGGTCAGGCTCCTGACCCTGACTCTCCCCAGTGGCAATGGCCTTCCAGAAGGAAACCAAGTTAGCAGGACAGGGCTGACCAGAGATTCCTTTATAAGCACTTATAAAGGCATCTAGGATGAGAAGGTCTCTGTGTAGAGAGGAAGAAATCACCCGGGGTTGAAGAATTCACACGAAGCGCCCGGGTGCTCTCTCAATGAGGGAGAAGCAGCCACGGCCACAGGAAGTAAAGGGAAACCTGGGACATCCAGGGACCCACATCCTCACCCCGCTCCAGGACCTGGCTCAGCTTTGGGTCTTAGGGCACAGGGGGAGGCCACTGGGTGTGACCCCTGAACCCCCCAGGAAAGGAGAAGCAGCTCCAGGCATCTCCAGAGGCCAGAGGAGCAGGAAGAGCACAAGATGAGAGAGGGGAGCAGGGCCTGGGTGCCCGGCCAGCGCCCAGCTCATGGTGCTGGAGTCCCTGGAAGAAGCCTGGCTCACAGCCCTGTGTGTGCTTTCCAAGTCCCGGCCTTTCCCGTCACCCAGCTCCATGCCAACCCTGCTCTTTCCCTCCAGAGGCTGTGCAGCTGCTCTGCTGGCCTTTCCCCAGACTGGAGTCTGGGCCAGATTGCTCCCTGTCGTCCACCTGTGCAGCACGTGACCATGGGCTGGGCGGACCCCTCCAGACCACCAGCGTCATACCACCAGGCCCAGGGTGGTGGGCTTGGCGACCGTGGGCAGACAGTGCGCGCCCCTGAAGTGTGTCTCACATGTGTATGCCAGTACCAGGCAGCCAGGCCCCACCTATCCTGTCTTGACGCCCTGTGTCAGCGTTCTTTTATTTTTTACATTTTTTTTTTTTTGGCTGAGCCACATGGCACACGGGATCACGACCCCAACCAGGGATCGAACTCATGCCCCTTGCATTGGAAACACAGCGTCTTAACCACCGCGTTCTCTTTTAGCGCAGACTGTCTTGGAGCTCCAGACCCTGGCCCTGCATGCTGGGCCAGCCCAGGAAGGAGAGCTGCTGCTGAGCTTGCATCATCTCACCACTGCTTTTTTTTTTTTCATTTTTTATTTATTTGTATACAGTTTTTAAAGGTTATGCTCATTTACAGTTATTACAAAATACTGTCCATATTCCACATGTTGTACAATACAGCCTTGTAGCCTCACAATTGCTTTTTAATAACATCTTCCTGGTACATTTTTTTAAAAACAGAAATACATTTTTAGTTTTAAAAACTAGGAAAATAGTGCAAAGCTCAAGGGACTTTTCAAACATCACCTAGGGTGCCCTCGTGCAAAGACAGTTGTTGCCAGTATTTTGGGAGGGCTGCCCTGGAGCAGTGGCCCACACTTAGAGCATGTGCTGTAGCTCCAGGGTCCTTGACCGGGGCCTGGCCACACAGCATCAGGGTTTCTGTGCCACTGGAGATACTTGGCAAGCATGGCCAGAGGGCACAGGGTAGATGACAGCCTGGGAAGTGCCGTGAGTCAACCATCAACCTCAGAACTTCCGTGGGACCTGTTACGAAATGATCACGACAGATGTTTTCACAGCCAGATATCCTGTGTGCCCAGTGGAAGGGCAGGTCCAGGCCCTGCAGAACACCTGGAGAGCACACAGACCCTCTGTGTGGGACACCAGGGCCAGGACCTCCAGATACCTCCAGGTCCTCCAGGACCCCTGCATGGGCTCCCACAAGAAAGCTGACATGGGATCTCTGGTTCCTGCTGGCGAGAAGCTCAGCCAGCACTCAGTGAACCCAGCTCTCCCTGCGCACTGCATCCTCCTGCCCCGGGATGACTCACCCTCCTTTCTCTTTTCTCTTCACCTGCTAGAGCACTCAGCACCGACAGCCTGTAGCCTCCAGCACCCGGAGGGAAGCCCCATTGCGACGTGGGCAGCCTTTGGCGTTGAAGGGATGAAGATGGAAGCCCAGACAAGGGGCAAGCCTGCTAAACATCCCAGGGCTCATCCTCCAAAACATAAAGGCTGCCAGCAGCCCCCCAAGATTCGGAACTACAACTCCAAGGACTGACCTCCTCGCTGCCCCACCCCATGCCTCCCCCTCCCCCTTCTGATCCCCTCCTTCCTCCTCCTTCCCTCCCCTTCCCTCTCTTCCCCTTTCCCTTCCTGCTCCCTTCCAATCCATCTGTCAGTCTTCTTCCCCTCCTCCTCCTTGGTGCTTTTGTCTCCACGTCAGGGCTGCGCACGCGTGTGTGTGTGTGTGTGTGTGTGTGTGTGTGTGTGTGTGTGTCTGTGTACAGTGGGGGTGGTGAACTGCTAAGGCACCTCACAGACTGACCACCGAATCCCAAATTCTTCTTTGAACTTGGGAAGGACAGTAAAAGATTTCCAGGGCTTTGCATATGTGGCTCTCAAGGCCCGGTTTCTTGTGTTTCAAAGGTTCGACCATGAGTGCTTTTGGTACCATCACACACACCACTCCATTTATATCTGAGTTTAAAATAGAAAGCCAGTTACAATCCTCAACTACGATATCACACACGAGTGAGCAGGAGATCTCATAGCTTAAAATTTTGTTCAACTTTCCATGGACCCTGCTACCAACATGCTGGTTTCAGGATTCACTCTGCGACCAGGGCTGAGCCTTCTTTGGTTCACGTGGGGACTGAGGGAACCCTGTAGGTGGGCAGAAAAGCCCAGCCATCCACAGAAGGGGGGCCAACTCAAGGCTTGGGATGTAGGTCGGGTGTTCAGAGCTCCACCGGCACCCTCGGCAGAGCTGCGTTCTCACCTCCAGCCCAGAGGCTGCAGGTTGACCGTCCTGGCCTTTTGCTCTCAGCCCAGCTTCACCACCTCTGTGTCAGGCCAGGGCCCCTGTTTAGGGCCCGAGCATGAGGTGGATGTGTGTCCCGGAAGCTTTGCTAAGAGCCGTGCCTGGCACCACGGCAGCACTTGGCACATGCCATGCTTGTGTTCACATGGTCAGTTGTTCTGGGGCCCAGGCCCCTGGAGAGGCTTCCTGGCCTCCTTGTCAGCCTCAGGCCCCCTACTTGAGCTGAAATCAGACAGGGGGCAGCAGAGAAGCTGTGGGCAGCTACTGGGCACACAGGAGGTCTGCACAAAGCTCACTCCCAGCCTTGAGTGCTGTGTGCCTGCCCTGCAGGGCATGTCTGTCCTGGACAGGGAGTGAGGGCATTGGGAGGGGGTTCCAAAGTAGCCCTCAGGGTCATCGCCTGAGGCCTGGAACAAGACCTGCAGCTACTGTGCTAGGGGCCAATTGGCAGCCCTCCAGAGGGGACACATTTCTATGGAAAGGAAGAGCATTGCCTCACTCACAGCGTTCTCCCTGCCAAGAGGAGCTGAGGGCAGCCCCTCGTGGCATGTGTACTGCCAGTCTACACCCTGGCTACACTTGATCTTAGCCAAACGGCCGAGAAACGATACACCCTGGCTAGGTGCAGAGGTGGGCAGCCCCTTCACAGGAGGACGGGGCGGAGGGGTGCTTAGCCTGTCCTCCAGAGGGGCCAAGCCCCCCCTCAAGCCCCTTTGGAAGCATACATTTTATGAATGTCATTTATCTAGGTTTCAGGCTTTGATTTCTGTGAAAAGAAGGAAGATAAAAATCTACACAGGCATATTGACGTCCTAACCACCCATGCACTGCTTATCCTGGGCACACAGTGTTTGGGGAGCTGCGGAGAAAATGGCAGGTCTCTTCCAATGTGCCAGGAAGGAGCATGCCAGGAGCAGCTTTGGTGCCAGGTGGTAGGGTCTCCGTCCTCTGCCTTGTCTGGCACATGGCCATGTAAGTGAGATGTGGCCATGGGACTTCCTTTAGCTGAAAAAGTGAGCCCTGTCCGTTTCGCTAAAAATAGTTAGATCCAGTGAGTCCCCAGCCCTCTGTGGTGCAAACAAGGGTCTCGAACTCAGCCGCCCATCCTGCAGTCTCGTCTCCTGGGCCCTTGGTAGACTTTAGTGAGCAGAGCCCCATTGACCAGCAGGAAGTGAGCCTGGGATAGTTTAAGACACCAAGAGTTGAGGGTGTTTGTGCAGCACAGTCTACCCACTCCTGATCCAGGATACCAGGTGTCTGAAAAGCTCTTAAATAGGAAGGAAAAGAAAATCCCACAAAGTTATTTGGGACAGCAACTGAGCTGCGTGATCTCCCTGCCCTCTCTCCTTTTTTCCTGTCTTGCCCTTTCTTTCACAGCGTGCAAACCAGAAGTCCCCAGTGATGATGCCAAGAGGAAGCCTAGAGCAGGAGGGATGAGCTGCCACTTGGACTACCTGGGGGTGTAGGGAGCACTGTAGGGTTTGAGGGAGGGGCACCTGAAGCCAAGTTATCTGGTTTGACGTGGCAGTCCCGTTCTGTCCTGCCCAGAACATCTGTGGCCAGTGCCATGCTGCACAGTTTAAAGTTTCTGAGAGCAAGACAAAAGCAGTTGCGAGGAGGCAGGCGAGGAGAGCAGCAGCGTTTGATTACAAGAGGAGTCGGCCGAGCACCTCTGCCAGGGGTTTTCTGACCTCACAAGGGTCCATCAGTGGTCCCAGGAGATAGTAAGGGCTGTGCAGGGAGTGGCCAGCCGACCGTCCTTCCTGGACTCACGTGATTTCCCAAGACGTGTTTTCAGTCTGGAAAGTCAAGGACTTTTGTGTGTGTGTATAAATTGGATAAACATTTGAGCAGGGGAATTACAGAAGGAGGATGTGCGGGCGAGGAAGGACGCACTTTCGTCGGTTCGTGTGCGTGCCCGTGGGTGAGAGTGGCCACGTGCGCGCTCGAGTGCCTCTGCCCAGGGAGACTCCTTTGTTCAAACCACAGCAAGAGGTGTCCGTGCATAGCCCGCTCGCCAGATGGCTGCGCCCTGTCCCCACGGCCGTCTGCGGGAGGCCCCTGCCAGGCCTCGGAGCGTCCCCCGGGTTCCAGCACTCGCCCCGCGAATTTCGGCGTCAAGGCAGGGAGGACCCGGGGCGCTGCGCTGCGGTGACTGACAGTAACCCCGCGCGGGGCACCCTCCGCCGGGTCAATGACCGCGCTCGCCCTGCCGCGGCCCTCGCAGCGCCCGGGGCCGTCCGGCCCATCACCCTATCACCTAGCAACGCCCACTCGAGGGGCGCCATTGGGCCAGCGCGCACGCCCCCGGCCCCCGATTGGCTGCGGCTGCAGAGAGCCACGCCCCCGGCCCGTCTCCGCGCAGCCCGGACGCGGGCCGGTCAATTCGTACGCCTAGGGGTCCGTCTAGCCCCCAGTGTGGCCCCAGTATGACCCCCAGAGTGACCCAAGTAAGCCCCGTTCCGTTTCCACCGCGCGCCGTGCACACGTGGCCCCCGCGGTCCCGGGGGTGGGGGCGGCCCTGGGACGCAGGGTCCCGGCTCCCGGCGGCAGCGCGCCGCATCACCCCACTGGCGGCGGCGCGCCGGGTCCCGGGGCACAGCCCCGACGCTCATTGGCCTGGGCGGCGCAGCCAAGCTGTCAGCCCATGTGGCGTGTCCGCACGGGGATGGCCGCGGTTAAATAGAGCCGGCGCGGGCCTAGAGGGAGCCAGAGAGACAGTAGCGGCCTCCCCTCCAACGCGCGCTCCATCCTCGCTCTCCCCCAGCCGTTTGCAGAGCCGCCCGAGCCCAGACCAGGTACAAGCGGCCAGGCCGGGCCGGGGTCGGGAGTTGCGAGCCGGGAACCGGGTCCTGGGGCCAGACTGGATTGGGGGCTGGGGCGGGAGCAAGGCTGCCGGGCTCGAGGGGTCGCCGCCGGCCCACATCCTCCGGCCTTGGGTGCGCATGGTTCGGCGCGCTGATGGTAAGGGCTCATCTCGCAGAGCCTGCTCTGGTCTCGGGGTCCGAGCCTCGGGTCTGGATGTTCGAGCCCCACGAGGCGCCCGAGGCTAGGCGGCGAAGGGCCCTCGCGCCGTGCCTAGGCCCGGCGGGACAGGTGGGCGGATGGCGAGGGGCGGACGCCCGGGAACGCCGCGAACAGCCATTTTGGTCTTGGGCTGGGCCGGGCGGCTGCGGACCCTCGAGGGCCTTTTGGAGCCCCCAGCCGCCAGGTGGGCGCCGCCTTCCGGCGCCCCCGAGGGCCTCCTTTTCCGGCTTGGCCGCCGAGACCCTCCACCCGCGGCATCCTCCCGCCTCCGGGTGCAGGATAGCTGTCTCGGCCGACCGGAGGGCCTGAGAAGAGGGGAGGGAGGTGGATGCAGGAGGCGCAGGATCGTATGAGGACGGCTTCTCCAGCACGTGGGCTCCATTTGGAGCCCCCAAAGTTCTGCGGGGAGAGCCACTCCTGCCGGGTGCAACCTCGCGGCGGCGCGCGCGGTTTCGCCTGCGCCGCAGGGGTCTCCACCCTTTTGCCTCGTCCTGCCGGACTCCGTGTGAATAGCAAGTAGGGGGAGAACAGAGCGGGCGCTTTCTGGAGAAGCAGCCGCCCCGGGAGCTGGTGCTTCTGGGCCGGCAAAGGGCTCTTTATTCAGCGCTGGGGGAGGGGGCTCCCTCTGCCGGGACGCCAGGGCCATCAGGCCACCCAAGGAAGACGCTCTCTCCACTCCTACTTTCCCATGCTCAGAGAAACCCTAAAGGGTCGGTAGTTGGCGAGTTCACCAGTCATCGGCGCCATGAGGCCCTGGAGGCTTGGTGGAAGTTTGCAGGACCAACCTTGGCCTTGCCCCCTTCCTCAGGGACTGCACAGGAGCCCCCATCGTGGGCCCATCGGCTCAGAGTAGTCTAGCTCTCTCGTTGGTGCTGGGAGACCTGGGTCTGGGTAGACAAGCAGGCTGCACGGAAGTAGGCAGGCACAGTCCTGAGGCCTCAAACTGCAAATATGTGGGTCTGGGTAGCGCTTGCCTGGAAGCCAACCGGGAGTGGTTCTCCAGGTTGGAGCCTGCCGAAGGGGCCGTACAGGCTGGGGCTGCCCACTGTGGGACAGGGACCAATTTTTCCTCAGAGCCCCACCAGGTCTTGGCAGTGTCGAGAAGCCCGAGCTGTGGTTCCGGCCTGGAGGGCAGCTTGGGATGCTGAGCGCAGAGCCAGCTAGTCAGTGTGGGCGCTTTTTCCCACCCCCACATTTGCCCTTTCTCCTTCGCCTACTAAATTCCCTGGGCCACCTCTTAACAGGCTAACGGCCAGGCAGTCCCTTCCTCAGAAGGGTTTGGGCCCTGCCTGCCTCCCACCGTAGGGCCCCCTCCTGAGTCTCCTGCAGCAGGGCTGTGGTGGGGTCACCCCAGGCCAAGGCCAATGCCGAGAGAGCCCAGTGCGAGGTGTTAGCAGGCTGGACCAGAGTGGACTTCCCCTTCCCAACCACTGTACATACACTTCACACACTTGCACACCCAGTGTTCTAGCGGGTGCACAGCCCCAGAGCTGGCCATGTGGATCTTGTTGCAGGGCTTTCTGAGCTGCTGTTCTCAGACCCTTGGGTGGGCCAGATGGAGGAGGGACGTCAGGAAGCCAGGGTTGGGGAGCAGCTGGGTCTCCAGCAAGGCTGTGGACTGGCAGTGTTGGGGCCCAGGCTGACCAGTGTCTGGGCCCTCGCGCCACCCTCCTTGCAGAGAGAGCAGCCATGGAAGAGGTGGTGATTGCTGGCATGTCCGGGAAGCTGCCCGAGTCGGAGAACCTGGAGGAGTTCTGGGCCAATCTCATCGGCGGCGTGGACATGGTGACAGATGATGACAGGCGGTGGAAGGCGGGTAAGCCGGCCTGGGGCTCCCCGCCTACTTGGGATGTTCTTTTCTCTTTTCTCACCGCTACTGTGGACACAGTCTCCCGGGTTACCAGGGCAGGCCTGTTCTGGCCTGCACTCCAGTCCCATTGGCAGAGCCAACGGTCACCTAAGGTGAGGCCATGTTGCAGCCTCTTTCTGGAGATGGTATCAGAAGGCTCTGGGCTAGGGGAACCTGGGACCTCTGGCCAGTGGGCTAGGGACTGAACTCCAGCCTGTGGGAGTCTGGAGTTCCCTGGTTGTGGCCTTTGCTCCTTTCACAGACCAGGGGCATTGCTTGGGGGTGGAGCCAGGGCAAGGCCAGGTGGATGAACACCTCCAGCCAGCCACTGCCCGCCCACTGGCCCACCCACCTGCTGTCCCAGGCTGTCAGATAAGACATCAGGCTCCCCCGGGAAGCTGGTTTGACTCCCTCACGCCCAGTAGGTTCTCCCACAGAGCGGCTCCACCTGATCTACAGGATGTGAGTCAGTGTGGCAGAGCCTGGCTGGCCCTAGCTGCCAGGCCAGGATGGGGCCAGGCAGAAGGTCTCCAGCCAGGTCAGGACCGT